TAACCCTAACCCTAACCCTAACCATAACCCTAACCCCTATCCTAACCCTAACCATCGCTACCGCCGTTCCCACCTGAGTTCCCGGACTCTTCACCCCCCGGGCCACCGACACCGCCGGCGTTATTGCTGCTGCTGCTCGGGCTGCTGCTGCTCGGGCTGCTGCTGCTGCTGCTGCTGCTGTCGGTGGGGNGGGCCACCGACACCGCCGGCGTTATTGCTGCTGCTGCTCGGGCTGCTGCTGCTCGGGCTGCTGCTGCTGCTGCTGCTGCTGTCGGTGGGGCTGTCACCGCCCCCGCCGAAGTCGCCCTTCCTGAAGGGGGCGACGGGGGAATTCTGCCTCCGTCCCGGGATTGCCGGGTGCCGTCAGTGCCTCCTCGAGCACAAACGGCGTCGCTTGTCCTGGCCCGCGAGCCTCCATCACGTCGAGGTCGGACTCACTACCTGAGTCTCCCTCCCCGCCCCCAACCTTGGCGTGATGCATCCGCTCTGCTCTCGCCCTGCCCGCCCTCCTCGTCATCTGCGAGAGGTAGCAGCTGCGGCACAGCGGGCGATGCAGCGGGCACGTGGCGCCAGCTGAAATTTGGGGTGGTGATTACGGTTCCAGCTTCGGTTAGCCTGCAAACGCAGTCACGGGGGTGATTGTGGGTAGGACCAACGTACCATCCTTTTTCTCCCTTGGGTGGCGACTTTGCTTATCTTCTCAAGTTGAACACGGCTGGATTGAGGAACGGGTATGTAGACCCGGCAGGCGGTGGGGAGTCGTGGAACATCTCGCAGGCGGATTTGTCTCCGTCATTTGATGTGGTGGCGGTGCAGTTCAGCTGATGGCATGCACACGAAATGGCCTCGGCCCACAACCCGGGGTGGCTCGGTGCGTCGGGAAGAGTGCATCGCTTGGGTGCGTGACGCAAGCGCGGCATCAGTGATCAACCCTAGTGCTCTCTCCGCTACACGGTTGTATTTTGGGGGGTGAGGGGGGGTGAACACTTGTTTGATGCCGTGTCTGCGGCAAACTTCCGCAAACTACCCGTGGAACTCGCGACCACCGTCGGTACGTGCGATATAAACCTCACACGGAACCCCTTTCGTTCGGTAGTCCGCCAGGAACTTTTTAAACCCAACCGCTGCGTCAGACTTGTGCTTCAAGAAGAAAACACGCGTCCAACGGGAAAATTGTCCCTGATGATCAGTTTGTACCAGTCGCCACCAATGCTTCTGGTTTTGATCTTTTCCCGCAAGTCGAGATACACGCTTAATAACTTCTTAACTGCGCGTGTGCTCGTGCTCTTCCGGACGGGTTCCACCTGTCCCTTGGACATCGAACAGTCAAGGCAGGGTAGCAGCGGTCCATGCGTCAGCTGCACTCCCTGCTGTTCCGCCGTGATCCTGAGCAATGTCTCGTGGGCATGGCCGTGCGCGAGGTGGTACTCGTTGAGGTCAGTGGGGGTGGCTGCTTTTGCATCGCCAGGAACAATGAGTGCGGCACAGGCGGTGTGTAGCGTTCGCTTTATTCGATAGCCTCGTTGGGTCAGCAGCTTTCCAGTCCGGAGGAACCATACCTCCCCTCCGGCTTTCGTGGTCAGCGTGAGGCCCCCCTAAGCTCTCCTCCGCCAACGAAGACAGCGAGAGGAAGTTGTAGGGGGCCTCTGGTACATGGGCAGCATTCAGTACTGGTACGGGTACTCAACCATCTTCCGTCTGTAGGACTAAGGTCACATCTCCGTATCCTAGAAGCGGAACGGGGGCCTTGTCGCCTCCGATCCCCTTCACCCAACCGCTACGCTCACGGTGTTGTCTGCACATCGGAACATGGAGCACGTGTCCACTGTGTCGGCCACGTACACCGCCTGGCCTTGTTCCACAACCCCCACGAGACCTACTTCACCACCGGTACCACACTCGCCTGGGGGGACCGCCACGGCACAAAACGCCTGGTCTTCCACGGAGTCCACGTCGCTCTCATGCTCCACCACTTGCGCCAGGACGGCCTCCTCCGTCGCGCACTTTTCTTTGGTGTGGCCCCACCCCTCGCAGCGCGCACACCACGGCACGAAGTCCTTCTCGTTGGTAGTGCAGCCGATCGCTTGATGTCCATGATGTCCACACCTAAAGCACCGGCCCGGGAACTTATAGTCCCCGCCACCGCCGCCATCGGCGCCTCCACTGCTGCTTCCCTTGCTCTCCTTGACTCCTCCGGATCCGCCTGAGCTTGAGCGGCCGCCGCGACCGCCGCCGCCGCGGCCACGACTGCTGCTGCGGCCACGACCGCCGCCACGACCACTACCTTGCCCCTGACTCCTACTTGAGTACCGCTCCCTGCGGCCCTCACCGTCGGCGAAAGTACGCTTGCTCTGCGCCCGTCGCCCCTTTTGCTTTCCCCTGCTCCAGCTTGTCCTTGATCGCCTTGTATTCGATCATTACTTCCTTTAGCACACCGGTCCGCGTCAACTCCTTCGCGTGTCGCAGGTTGTGCTTTGTCATGGCATACTCGTCCGAAAGGGCATCCTGGAAGAGGTGAAGGACGAACGTTTCGTTGACAGTTAGTCCTTCTCGATTAAGGACTTTGCGGTTTGGAGCATCTCATTGAGGCGTTTTGGGGGTCAGGGACTTGAGGTCCTCTGATGGCTGTACAGATGATTCAGGGTCGTGTATGGTCTTGAGCTCACGAAGAGTTCCCTGGGGCGTCTCTGCCCTCTTCATGATTTTCCGATCTTTTTCTTTCAACGCGTGAGACAGGAAGTTCCACGCGTAGAATGCGACCTCTACTTGCTCACTCCGGTACTGCTGTGACAGCGAAAACTTGCTCTTTCCGCTGTTGACGGGGATCTCCAAGCTCCCGCCCTCTTCAAATTGTTCCAACAGGTTTGCGCCATTAGCTGCCATGCGGAAATCATTTAGCCATTCGTTGAAATCTCTCAATGTCCCGCTGAACGGAGGAGAACTGTACCGCACACTTTGGTATCCCGTCGCTGGGGTTGTGGCTTCGTATCCAAAGCCAACAGCAGCACCACCATCTCCCATGGCACTACTATAATCTTGGTTGTGAGCAGCGGCTACTCTCACCTCTTGGGGGACAAAGCCCCCTGCTTCGCCGCTGTGTCGCCCTGACGGGTCAGACTCTCGAACAGGTTCGCGCAGGTACCTCCCGTCCTGCACACTCCCGGTCCACGGTGCCCCTCCTTCGGCGTTCGTGGACTCCGCGGCGGCGCTCTCCCTAGCATCGCCGCGATCAGCGGCACCCTCCATGGTGCCAGCTGGCTCCTCCTTCTTGCTTGCCTTCATGGTATCTTCCACTGGCGACATTAGCTGGCTCATCTGATCCGTCAGCTAGCTAACTTGCGCCCTCAGGGCCACGAGCTCTTCTCTTGACCTCTTTCTGGCTTCCGCCGCAGAGTCGCTGGAGGAGTCACCCCCATCTTTGCGACCTGACGGTCGCCCCGGTGGTCTAGTGGGTAAGCTCGAAGCCTGCTAAGAGCCAGGTCATGGGTTCGAGTCCCGGTAGAGTGAGTTTTTTTCTCACGAAAAGATATAGTAGCTGTCGCTAAAACGAGCGACAGCTGATAGATGTAACTGTCGTCAGACGTGTGCGTCCGCGGGAGGTGGAAGAGACCCTTTCTTCTTCTTTTTCTCTTTGCAATTCACGTCATTGGTTACCCGCGACGGCGCTGAAGACGCCCATGTCCGTGTACTTGACCCTCGTACTCTGTGCTAACTCCCCAAGTCTAACCTCTTCCTGCAGCCTAGCCTTCATCGTCGGCGAATTTCCAAGGTTACCAATCCTGTCGAAACTCATGGGCTCTACCATGAGGTCCACAAGTCTCTTCGCCCTACTGAGACAGACGAAAGTAAGCCCCGTGCAGGCCTCCTTGGGCCCCAAGTCAATGACGGCCTTGGCTAAAGTCTGCCCCTGGGACTTGTGCATCGTAATTGCCCAGCAGAGCCTAAGGGGCAGCTGCGTCCTGACCTGCGTCCCCCCGTCCTGCCAGGTGGTGTCGACGGGAGAAATAGGGACACAACGTCTATACCTCTCCTGAGACGACCATTCCCCCCCCGAGTACCCTTCAAACTTGACGACAACGTAAAGGGGGAGCTTCGGCGGGGGCGCATCATCTGCGCACACCAACTCGACGACTTCGCCTCTAATGCCGTTCACCAGCCCAACTTGTTGGTACAGGTTCTTCGAGAGCATAACCTTCGCTCCCTTGGCTAAGTAGAGGTCCCTCTCGAGCCCCTCCGCGGTGTCTGCTGTCGCCCTCCTGGCGTTCGCGCCCGTGTGGACGGCGCTAACACGAGCGACGGGGTTGTCCAGCTCCCGGAGTTTCTTGCCGTTGTACTTGTTGACCTCTTTCTTGGAGTAGAAGAGCCTCGTTGCGTCCTCGAAAGCCGCTTTCTCAGCGGCGGTCAGGCGGTTGGGCTGTCTCTTCAGGAGGAGGTCCCAGTCCTCGTCGCAAAGCTGTCCATCACGCGCACGCGGCAGCAGTTCGATGAAGCCTCTCTGGTCGTCGTCGTTGGCGGCGGCTGCCGTCTGCCGCTGAACTCTGTCAAGGATGAAGACGTCCTGGAAGAGGCTGTAGGCGGCATAGCCTTCAACGTTGAGCGCGGCAGCTGGGTTTTGCTTGTACAGCGGAGTTCCTCCCACCGGTTGCAGCTGGCCCAGATCGCCGGTCATGATCAGGGAGATTCCGCCGAAGGGTTTGTCTACAGCTGTCCCTTGTCGCAGACGTCGATCGACCCACGCCATCTGGGACTGGCTGACCATCGATAGCTCGTCGATGATGATGTACTTGACGCCAGTAAGGGAATTCTGCAGGGCTTTGAGGCTTTGACCCTGGAGATTCCTTCCTTGCCTCACCGGCAGTCGGAGGAGGCTGTGCAGCGTGCTGCCGGCGATGAGGAAGGCCGCCATACCGGTTGGAGCTGCCCGTCGAAGGAAGCCGCCGAGCAGCCTGGAGAGGGCATACACGAGGTATGATTTCCCCGTGCCTGCCGTCCCGAGAACCATCATGCGCAGTGGCTCCTCGCGCTCGTTCTCGAAGTGGTCCCTGACGACGTCGTAGCAATTGCGTTGCCGCTCATTGAGAGAGTCCGGAGCCACATGAGGAATCTCGGTGGCGGGGCCAGTGCCGGCTGCAGCTTTCTTGGCGTTCGCAATCCACGTTGGCCCTCTCTCCAGCTCATGTTGGACCTCAGTCGCTCGGGCGCCGGCCCAGTTGTATTCAGCGTCCCACCTTGTGTCAACCTCCTGTTCTTCCCTGGCGGCGCCTCTTCGCCGCATGTTGGCCCCATCCATCCAATCGTCGGGCTGGTCTAAGAGCAAGCCGTCGTCGTCGTCGTCTTCGGCCGTGGACGCGGCCTCTCGGCGGGCAAGAGACAGCCGCCCTGCCAGCATGTCGCCGAAGCGCAGCTCGGGCAGGTCTTGGTTGGCTTGGACGAAGGCGTCCCACAGCAGGGCGAGCTTGGGTTCCTCTCCGGAGATGGAGGCTGAGGCATCCAGGTCCGTGACTGCCCCCATGTCGCGGCAGGCTGTTGTCGGCTCATCCTCCCATGGCCTGTGGGCGAAGAGGTTGTTGCGGCAGGCCTCAAGATGCCGCGCGCTCCCCGGAGAGCACGGCAGGGCAGGCAGCTTGATGACGACGAGGCTGCCCGCGCCGTCTCTCGCCGTGACCCCCCCCCCCCGGTCTCGAGTGTACAGCTGGTGGAACTGGAAGTAGCTAACATCCATGATGGATGGGTACTTGTCGATGACGCTGCGCCGGCCGGCGTAGAGGTCCCGCATGGATTTCTTGAGGGCGCCCTCCCCCGCCGCACCGTCGAGGTTAACCTGGCGTGTGCTGGTGGAAGGGTCGACGACGAGGCGTACGAAGCTGAAAGAAGAAGAGCACAGCTTGTTCCCGAGGAGCAGCCGTGCCGTCTCCTGGGCGGAAATGTCGCGCTCGCCCGTACACTTGAGGAACACGCTTCGCAGGACTGTTTGCGCCTCGTCAGCGTCATCGTCCGCGCGACCGATGGCCCGGGCGAAGACGTCGGCGGCGGCGGGCGACCGCTTCTCTCCTTTGCTCACATACTTCACCATGTACCGCACCGCCTGGTCCCAGTCCAAGATGAGTTGGAAGTCGATGTTCGCCCGCCAATGAGAGAGAGCAAGGCGGCAGTAGCTGTTGAGATTGCCGTCGTTGCGCTTGGTTTTGATGGTGGCTCTCACGGAGCCGTTGTCCATCTCCTCGAACTGCAAGGAGGTCTCGGGTTGACACTCGTGCGGGAAGCCGAAGCGACACCCCTGCCGCCCAGCGCGCTTGCAGTACCCTTCAGGACGGCAAACGTGGCGCTGGCAGCAGTTGATGAGTCCGTCGATGTCGGCACGGCCTGTGGCCTCGTCGCTGACAGGCCCGTGCTTGAAGGGGTTGACGGAGCATGGGTGAGGGTCTGGCACTCCCCCCGGATGGGCGGCGCGCTCCTCCGTAGACCGAGTGTTGACGGTGCAGATGAGCCAATCGGCGTATCTGCAAACCTTGTCGTCCGCTGTTTTGCCGTCGGCGACGGCTCGCTCCAGAGCCTGGCGTTCTTCCTCGTCGCCGATCCCCCCCTGTCCGGCGGCCAGGCCCTCGGCCGCCTCCATCCGTTCGGCCGCCTTCCTCCCAGCGTACGCTTTGCAGACGAGGTTGACGATACCGGGATCGTCTTGGAGCCAGGCACATCCGTGCGCGTGCGTGCTACCCCTCCCCTGGTACTCAAGCCTGTACCACAGCGACTGGGCTTGGAGTACACCGCCGAAAAAGGCGGAGGTGAAAGCGTCCGCCCTGTTGCCGAAGTAGGTGTCGGCGATATGCGGGTTTTCAATGAGGGCCCTCCGTTTGCCCGCTGGGGAGTCCTGGTACCCTGGTGGCATCAGGTCGAAGAGGCCGTCCCAGTGGGTGTCGGCGGCAGAGAGCGTGAAGAAGAGAGTAGCGCAGCCCTTGGTGGCAAAAATCGCCTGGAGCTCCTGCTGCTTGGCGTACCAGTACGGCCTAGACCCGGTGATGTTGGCGCCGTACCGGCACATGCGCTGTGTGAGCTGCTGCGCCAGCGGCGAACCCGACCGGAACAGATGCCTCATGTGCTCTATCGTCATGGCGGCGTCCCCTGGGTTTTGCTTGAGGTAGACCTGCGCCTGGCTGAGCATCCTGTGGCGTTCGAGCATGTTCTGGCACCAGTGAGGAAAACGGGGGTGAGATGCAAAGCGGTAGCGACCGTCCCGGAAGAATTTGAGAAGGTGTCTCATGCCGTCGGTGGGCTTGACGCTCCTGGACCGTGCCGGGTCGGTGGGGTCTCCCTTCCCCCATGGGAAGAGGGCGGGGAAGGCCATGGACGCGAGGCCTGTTGTCTTGAACTCGTTCAGGGCGGTCGCCTCCATCCCAGGCCAGGCGTTGACCGGAACATCCGCCCCGCTCTCCCTCACCTGCCTCCGCAGGGCTGCTTCAATCGCGCGGTCCTCGAGCATGCTCTTGCCTGCCGGAGCCATAAAGGACTCCGTGTCCTCGGGGGTATCGCCGTCCTCCTCCCCTCCCCCCTCCCCCCGAGGGCCAAGGTCACGCTCCGAGTCTCCCCCGCTGACGGTGGTTCGCAGTCCACGTAGTTGCCCGTCGACGGGGAGCTGGGATAGGGCCGTGTTGTCAAGGACGATGTCGCGGTAGTACGGGTTGTTGGCAATGAGCCATTGCAAAGCCCGTTGCACGCGAGCCCTCCGCACGTGTAGGTCCTTGTGCTGGCCGGGTTCCTGCCCCTCCCTCCGGATGATGATGATCGGTACATCGGCGGCCAACCTGGGGAGGGCAGCGGCTAAGGTACTGATGTCCTGAGCGACGTTGACGACATGGCCACCGTACCCTAGCTGCCCACCCTTGAGGTGGAGGACGCGCATGATCGGACAGCACCGCGCGATGAGCATCTCCTCCGTCTGGGTCAGGCCCTGGAGCTCGACGGGTACGCTCCCAGGATCCATGGTGTTGTCGGCGGAGAACAGCTTCGGACTCTTCTTGTCCTTCTTGCACCGCGGACAACTGTACGAACCAGCGGGTGTGGGGGCGGCAGGTGGTGGGGTATAGAAGGGTAACGTGAGGGCCGTTGCCAACATCAGTGGAGAGCACCTGGCATATGCGGTAGGTATGCAAATTATGAATATCCCGACCAAAGTTCGATCCCTGCTCATGCATTTTTCTATCCACTTTCCTTTTTTCCATTTTTCTTTTCCCAGGCATATGGTATCCTCCATACATCAGTGTATTTTTCTGGTCCTTTTCTTTTTTGCAACATTGCAACATGATGCAACGTGATGCACCAAGCCGACACGTTCATGTCGACGCGTTTGAACACGAAAGACCACCCACCTGTAGACGGCACCTCCGTCCCCTGGTCCGTCCCCTGGTCCGTCCTCTGCGGTGTCCCAACGTTCAGAGCACACTGTGCACACGTGCATCCTCCGGGCGGTCATGGGCTGCTGGAAATTCGTTTGCATCTCTAATCTGGCCCAACCCAACTTTTCCAGCGGCCTAGCAGCGTGAAACTCCGCAAGATCTCTCCGCTTCACATTAGCCTCCCTCTCTCGCCTGGCCCTCTCGGCATCTCTGGCCGCGGCTCTGGCCGCTGCTGCCCGTTCTCTACCCGCTGCACGCCTGCGAAGTGGGGCCCGTGAGGTTAGTCTCAACGTGTAATCTGCAAAGAAGGCAGCAGCGTGATGCGTGATCTGCAAAGAAAGGCAGCGTGATGCGTGCGTGTGGACCATGCGAAGTTGACATGCGGCGAAAAGTATTTTGCAAATTCCAAAAATGCTGGGTACCAACAACCTTTTATGCATGCAATGCACACCACACCAATGCACACCACACCTGGCCTCTGTCGCTTGTGGTGTCTGCTGCTGGCGCCTCGCAGCCTCTCTCTCTCGGTTATCCGCCAGCTGCTGTGGTGTTTGCCGCTGGCGCCTCGCAGCCTCTCTCTCTCGGTTGACCGCCCGCTGTTGTGGTGTCTGCCCTCGCAGTCGCCTAGCGGCGGCTGTAGCGGCGGCTCTCTGCCGGCCCGCCCGCAGCCTGTGTGTGTGTGCCGTGCGTACGAAGTGTACGATGTGTTGTGTGTGGGCAGTAGTCGTGCTGTGTGCGCGGAAGAAGAAAGCAGTAGTAGTCTGCAGTAGTAGTGCTGTGTGCGCGGAAGAAGAAAAGGCAGTTGGTGTATTTGAACTCGATTTCCCCTCTCCGGCAATCGCCGCCCAGACGCACGCACACGCAACGCACCTTTCTGCCCGTGCTCCATCGGTCTCCGCCGCACGCCTGGCGGCAGTCCTCTGACGAGCAGCAGCTCTCGCCCGGTCAAGCTGTGGGCTGCCTAGGGGCTCCCTCTCCCCGTGGCTTTGTCTGCGCCGCGAGTCTGTGTGCGTCTCTGCCTCACGGAGGGAGTTCGGGTCAATCGGCCCCAACGGACGTCTACTCATCATGCAATTGCCATGCCATGCAGGCCGCTGTGGCTGTGTCCGCTCTGCGCTGTTGGTGTGTCGCTGTGCCCGCTGAGCGCGTGTTGTCTGCTGTGCGTGTGTGTTCAGTCTGCTCGCTGAGCGCGTGTTGTCTGCTGTTGCTGTTTGCTGCTCTGCTGTGTAAAAAAAAAAAGTGCGCCCTGTAGTCACAAATCAAGTCCTGTACTCTAAAACCTAGTTTAAGCGAACACAACACACGCACGCACTTTTTTTCCTGCATCGGCCCCTATATTGCGCTGAGCCCTCTCAGGCAAGATTAGAAATCTCGCTTCGCTCGAATAAATCCTGGTCCAGGATGAAAGCGACGCATTGCAAAGCTCGTTGATAGTAAACCATAATCGACTTCGTAAGTCGCGAGGGAAGGGATTGCTGTACCCTTCTCGCGATGAAAATACCTCAGGCAGGAACCGCAGGAGGGGTCCAGCCCCCCCCTCCTATGTGACCCCGGTTGGCTCGTCTAGCCAGTAGAAGTGGAGGATAGGGGCCAGAGGGGCAGACGACAGAATCCGATGATGGGAGGAAATATACATATATATCCTAATGGACTCTCCCTCGAGGGACTGACACTAGTGTATTCGTACATGTCCTTTACTTGGAAGGGGAAGACGTTTTACCTCTTGTATTAGACACGCAAGGGGAGTAGGGAGAAGTGAAGCCCTCTTTGGAGTTCGAGGGATCCCCGCACATGCAACCATTTCAAGGTGTACATATGCCCCATCTGCGTGCCCTCTGTCGTTGCCGGTGAATGTAACCAGTCCGTATCCAAACACACGAACAAGAGACGCGTAACAATTTATGACGACCGTGTGAAAGACTCACTTGACTGTTCATCTCTTTGGACAGCAGCGCATGCTGTTGCTTTGCTCTCATTCGGAAGAATAGCGGGTGGTGCAGACCAACTCCCTCGTAAAGGAGCCACGAACGGCAACAGAGTTTTAGCAGTTTCATTACGCGGGCGAAGCCCGCCAATACACAGTGAAACCAATTATTGTGCGGGCCACACGCTTTCAAAATGTTGCACCTCACCCAATGAATCAATGAAGGAAAGGAGACACTAGAGCAGAGGTGCCGTCACCGGAGCAGTAAAGAAAGAAATCACCGTGCATAAATTCTGCCATGCGGATTGTCAACATACCGACGCGTCGGGATGGATGATTGATGGCGATTGCTTTGGGTGGGGTGTTCACTCCAAAGAAACTACCGATAGATGGAGTCAAGAGGGCGAAAAATACAACGCGGAGGTGCCAAAGAATCATGACGTTACTTGAAGTGTTCTGGCGAGAGTACGGGCGTGCAGATGATACAAAAGCATGCATGGATCCCTGAGTGTGGGTAATACTGCTGCGCTGCAGTAGCTCGGCATAAATATTCGCGTGTGTGTTTTTATTATTGGCATCGACCTCGCTAACCGGCTGACCAATGAAAAGACGTCAGTCTCAGTGCGGGTGAAAACCAAGAACACTTCTAAATGCCATTAATGGGACCCCGTGAGGGGGCGGCGTGGGGGAAACTAACAGTTTCTCCGGATCAAAGACAGAAACGGTTCGCGTGTGCGTGCGTTCGTGCGTGTTTGTGCGATCTCCCTCTCTCTCGTCGCTGTAGCTTTTCTGGCGGGTGCTGCTGCGTGCTCGTCATCGACACTCAAGTGGGGATTGACGTTGCAAAATTTCGTGCACACAGCACCAGAGTGGTCTCTAGTGCTGTTGGCGTCTGGTATGCGCCAGTTGCAGCCCCCAGGCTCCCGCCTGATGTGTGTCGGTCTCTGAACTGGTTGGTTCGAATGCGGTGAGCGCAGAAGAAAAAGCGGCGTAATTGCCAAAAGTACTCGAAAATAGACAAGGCGCCAAGTAGGCGCCAAGAAAGTTAAATTGAGACAGCTGATTGGCGGACGCAAAGTTAAATCTGTCCCGGTGTCTTTTTTTGCTGCCCCACGAAGGTCCTCTCCCGTGCATCATCCTTCAATCGGGAGTTCCATTCCCCGTACTTTCCTCTGGAGTCGCCCGACTCGTTGGTTGCTACTTACCCATTGTTGAAAGCAAGCTGACGAATATCGTCAGCATTGCGAGTCCAAAGCTCGCATGTTGTTTTTGCTTATTGCGTGAATATTGTGGACGACACGGCACTTGCACGAAGTAGCAATTACACAGCATGCAGGCACTTACGAGACAACGCCGCCGCAGGAAGAAAATCTGATGGGAGAACTTTGAAACGATGTCGATAGAAAAGATACAGCAGCACACACAGTAACCCTAAGAAGAAAAATGCCTACTTCGACTTGCGTAGACTAGTCTAGTAGACTTGGAAGCACAAAAGTGCGGCCAGAAAGGCTGATACAGAAGTCGCCCGAGGGGCTGATAGACATGTTGCCTGAGGGGCTCATATTGCCCGATGGGCTGAACCACATATCGCGACGTGACTGGGAGACGGAGCATATTGGGGCGGTCATGGCCTTCGACCCTCCCTTCTGGGCTGTCGCATGCTAGCACTGGAGGAGTCGTAACGATAAGTACAAAGAGGAGTGGTCCCTCAGTCCTTCTAGCAGCAGCAGCTTCCCGATCTTTCTGTTTGTTTGCGGTCCGGACCGCAGGCGTCAAATGAGTCCGTGCGGCAGCCGAAGACTCTCGCTTTTTTTGAGACTGGCGTCCCTGCGAAGACCCAGGACCATGCCGATGACGCACGGATAATCCCGAGAGAGAAAGACGGGAAAAAACTAAATCGATTACATTACGGGCCCGCAGTTAAGAAAAATTATGTTCAGAAAAATAGGCTCCAATTTTTGCGAAACATCAGGAAAAAGGGCTAAGAAACACGGCTCGATCTCGGCCACAACATAAGAAACATCCCAATAAGAAACATGACGGTGCGATACCCCCAAGATATAAGAAACAAAGGGTAGCTGAAGTAGCGTGTCCAATAAAAAACGTCCTACGGCTGCTCCTTCCGTGCTCCCACACCCCTACCTTGCTGAACAACATTATCTCTTAGGGGGGAGAGTTGGGGAGAGAGGTTATTTTCGCCACACCAAGCTCTTTTTCCGGTCTATAATGCGACACGTGTCTTACAATGTAGACTAGCCAAATAAGAATATATATATGTATGCGTTGAAGGTACTCAAGTGCGTATGTATGTCGCGAAGCTGTCCTCTGCCTCATGTGAAGGCACCTATGGTTACCTGCCCGCTCGACAAGGTGAACGTTTCCGGTTCGAGTCTCTCGTCGTGAAATTTTGCAAGAGGAAGAGTATGAAGAAAACCCTATAACCCTCTACAAAAATAACACGGCTGGCTGGTGTCGATAGCATACTACAGATAAACCGGCAACGTCAAGAAGAGGAAGCGCGCGACAAGAAACAAGGAGAAAAGTGTGACTAAAAACAGGACGGTTGATGTGAAGGGTGGTGTCTACACCCATCAATCTTGCACAAACGCTAACCTCTGGGAGATCTTGGACAGCCTTCTTGCGCCTCTTGCTGGATCTAGTCGGCTTATGTGGCTCCTCCTCCTACTCCTACTACAACTACTACTGGCTGAGGCTGAGCTTGCGCTTCTTCACGCTGCGGGCGGTGTTGGGGTTGCGCTGGAGCACGGGATCACGGGCCTCAATGGGCACCAGAAACTAGTTACCCGTGCACCAAACAAACGTGTTGTCATGGCTGAGATAAGCTCATGTATCTATCCTGGTTCGCACGCACTTTCTTGGTCGTTGGGTCCGACGAATAAATAAATTGATCAAGCGGAGCGGACTCCGAAAATCGTATCAGTTGGTCCGACGAATAAACAAATTTATCACGCGGAGCGGACACCGAGAATCAATAAATAACTACCGGCGAATTGTAGAAAACGGCGGAATGTCCATTGTACGACCCGCGGACCCCTAAGAAGCGTTTGAGTTTCGCTATAATCATTAAAAAAAAATGAAAACGCTCGGCAGGAGAGAAGAGGGAAGGAGGCTACCCAACGGACGAAAAGGGCTTGTCCCCGTCGTAGTGGACCTGGCGTACAGTCGTACTCTTGTCATGGAAGATAGCCCGCGATGTCCAATCCATCTGTCGCAAACTCTGTCTGATGGGACACTCACCCGATGTCGACCATATTCGGAAGATTTTTTATCAACGCATACGTACAGGTAAGAGGTCGTTCACCTCTCAGAACATCAAGGACGAGGACGGGAAGGTCCTTCGGGACCCCACGTTTATTCGCCAACGGTGGGCACGGTGGTTCCACAATCTTCTCAACACCAAGTCGCCGACCATCGACCTGCATGCGGCTGACAAGGTCAAGCGGTGGCCCACGTGCGTGCCACCCGACGACATCCCATCTCTACTTGAGGTTGAGGAAGCGGTACGGGAAATGGCCAACAGAAAGGCCGTCGGGCCGGACGACC